TGGAAATTACATATAAATATAATTGTGTTGAATGATATAATGCGGAGATCTTCAATTTTTAAATGATTTTAAGAATGAATAAATAATAATTTAAAAATTAAAAAAAAAATATAAAATAAAATATGTCTAATAAGTATTTCTATTTTTTAATGACCTCTTATTTTTTGCCAATTTTTTTTCGTTTCTCCATCTGATTTCGACCACAAAATAAACTTTGCAAATCCTCAGTTTATTTTAAGTTTATTTTTATTAACCTCAAATATATAAATCAAAATTAATTTGGGTAAAATATTAATCAATCACCTCTGCGTTTGTGTCAGTTTATGAAAGTGATCCTGCACTTGAAAATTAATTGACAAGCTTACGCTCATAAAGCCAATTTTTAAAAGTGGCCGAAAAAAACTTAGATCTTTTTGTTACAAAATCTGCTATATAAAGTATTAAAGAGCTGAGTTAGATATTTTATTGAAATTTAAAGCAGAATATTGTATGAAGTAAATTGATATTTGATGAAAAAAACTGTAACAAGAGCGTAATTCAGAGAACTTTAATTAACATAGGTTCATGTTGTGTGTCTGTTCATCCTAATGAAGCTCTGGTTTCACCCTCGGTCCTAAAAAATTTATGATTTCCAGAGTAAAACCAACTGGCTCGTTTCCCGGTATATGGCACACCTCCTCATGCGTTATATTAATTCGCCAGCTCTTCGCAATTATCAGCACGCACGCACACACCAATTATTACCGTGCTTATAATTATAATTACTGTTTATCCCCGAGAAAACTGCGCGCGAAACGCGCGTGGAGGGTTGTCCTTTTAAATAATTTATGCCACCCGCGCTCATTCAGCACGCGCGTGGCTCGCGTGCTGCAGAAGCTGCAAGGGGCGCTCCGTACGTTGTTATTAGCATCGCAGCAACACACCAGTAATAATAAAACAACGAATCCGAAATCGGCCCCGGCTGCTTTTAATTTATGGTTATCCCCGAACCTTAATTGCACGGTTCGGCATTGATTGCCACGAGCACGCCAAGATGAAATATTCGGCGACACAAGTATTCCTCTGTCTTTGAGTATAGAAGGATGAAGAAATAAAAGGGTTATTAATATGCGAGCTGCGAAAGTCACGAAACCACCGCGCGACGATGGCTCGTTACTATGCTAAATATCTTCATTTGTTGAAAGTCGATAGACGGAAATGACACGACGGAATTGAGGGCGAAACAAAACATCATCACTTCTCAACAAAATGAATAACTGGAGTCTATTTTTAGACTAGATTGATTGAAAGAACTTATGATTACTTTATTTTCCCAAAATTTTGTAACAATTAAATATGAATTTTTTATATTTTTTATTTTACATGATATTGCTATTAAAATTTCAACATTATATTTTATCAGTTTGCGCAGCAGGGGTTTCAAATTTCAAAGTATCTTAATTTATTTTTAGAAATAAAATTTTTAATTTTATTAACAAATATTTTTCATTATACTTTTGTGAAATAATATGCTTTCTAAATTGAAAGTAAAACTGTTCTTTGAATTAAAACAACAATCTAATTTTCATTATCACACGTTCTTTAGCAATTTACTTCTCATTCTCTCGTTTGAAATGTTTGAATGCAAGTTTAAATATCTAATTAGTTCATCCTGCGTCGCAGTTCAGGGAAATTTCATTTGACGAAACCAAACGAGCATCAAAACATCCACTGCCAAGTCAGCGCGTAATTGAATCCAAGTTTCTGTGCTGCTCCCTTGGGCTGCTGCGGAGATAAAGCGCGGCCAGGATGACGCCCAAAGTTGCAGATGCAGACTTGCCATTTTATTAGATTATCCGCGCGCGCGTGTCGCGCAAAATTCAAGAAGTTGGAGGCAGTCGTCATAATGATGCGCATAATAATCAGGGCCGGCTCTAATTATCCCTAATGAGACGCGACAGGTATGTATACCATGATGTAATACACGTGCTGATTATTCGCCACTTGGTGCGCGCGAATTGGGCTCTGCCAGACTTTAATGCGTTTTAGGGCGGAATTGCGCTTGTTAAAGCTCTGACGAGAAAAATAAGGACGACATGAACGCAAGAGGGTGTGGGTGAAATTCTCCGAAGAAAAGCAAGGAGAGAGAAAGACGCCTTCGGGAAGAAAGTCGAGACGAAAATTGCGATCGTTGAGTGCTGCTGAAAGTTTCCTAATAGAGTGCTGTGCTCTAATTCCAAATCTATTTTCAGAACGTTAATAGCAAATATTTAATGGTGAGAGTTAAGAGATCTTAAGAATTTTAAATTTAGTTTTTTTTCTCACAGTCTATTTATTTTTTCATGAAATCTTTTTTTGCAAATTTAGCCTTTCTGGTTCACAATCTAAGATACTTTAAAAGCGTCTTCATAAGGAAAAATTGTTTTCAAATTATTTGATTCTTTTTAGACTCTGTCTGTTGTTTTGAAAATCAGTGCCATCATAAATTGTAAAACATAAAAATTCAAATGAAGAATAATTTTATTCAACCTTATAATTAAAAAAAATCATAGTACGCGTAGAAACTTTTTGAAACTTTTTCTACGTTACAAAAACCTTTTTTTACTTTTTGATTGAAAATAGCCTAAGATGTTACATTTTTTTTTTAATAGGAGACCCTCTTTTTTTGTCTAGAATCTGCATATTATGCAAAAGGAAAAAGCAAATTGTTGCCATCCCCGAAGACTTACTTAAAATTAATCTTTCCCGCGACTCACAGCCCCTATTTTGTTCGCATATATTTCAAAAGAGCCCTTATGCGCTTTTCCTTTTGAACAAATTGTGCTCTCGCGTCTTTTAATTACTTTGCGCTACTTGGCAATAACTCGCACGCGACACTATACTTTTCTTTTCCCGGCGGTGGCAATCAAATTAGCGCATTTGCGGCTCAATTAAGCGCACTGTGGCAGTTCTCGCGTCGTGAAGAGATTATGTTCGCCTTTCTGTGCCATTAAGAAGACGCGCTCTTTTTGCTTCCGAATCGCAAAAGCTGCTGCGAGACGAGAAGGGCAAAGTAATCAGCCACCTCATTAACCGAACTCGGCGACGAGTCTTTTGTCAAAATAGAGATATGTTGCTAAAAAAAAATGTGGCGCAGCAGATTTTAATAACAGAGCAGCTAGACGAGCCGCACACAAATTGCTGCTGTTCTATTCCGAGGCCATTATTAAAAAAAAAATCCTTTTTGTCTCCGCTTTGGGGTCGCGTTTTAATATTCAAACTTTTGTTTTTGCAATTTCACCGCTTTGTCTCTCTGCGGACAAAAAACTGTGTTAATTTCGCCAGATCATCATGGTCGTCTGCGGGCTCCGGGCCTTGCTTCTCTCTCGATTAATAATTGTTTTTGTCGCCGGGCGGAATGCTAATTACGCGGGCGAAACAGCAACTAGCTGAATAATATCAGCGTGCGGCAGATCGTCGGCCCAAGTTGCTCCCCGAGGAAAATAATCCGTGCGCTGTTGGTCGCATTAAGGTTTCATCCGAGAGTTGCTGCAATGCGAGTCACATCAAGCTCCCATTTTGCGGCCAACAAAAGTCATTTCGGCTTAAAGTGGATACAAGAGAGAGCAGGGAAGCCGATTTACATCATCATCATTTTTTTCTACTCGATCCTCTCTCGAATAACATCAAAATTGGATTTCATAAATAAGGTTTGGGGGAAAGGGCGAGAACTAATTTGTTTTGCATCAGTTTTCAATACGTTTGGTAGAAACTGAAATTTGAGAAGAGGAAGAACTGAATTTAACTTATAAGTAAATATGATAATTTTTTCTTCTCGGTCAATATGAATCTGAATATTTAAAAAATGTATATGAATTTATAATGTGGGCCTTAAGATAGCATTAAAAATATTAATAATGATTAACAAATCAGAAATTTAACGAACCTAAATTTTGATATTGTATAGGATGTGAAGTAGATTTAGAAAAAATTCCTGATTCATTAATAGCTAATATAAACATCAACACAAAAATCTAGGTGAAAATTGAAATTTAGGAATTTATTGAACGAAAATTTAAAATTTTACTCGGTCTTGGGACACTCACAAATTTCCTGCTTAAAGACCTTTGTTAATAAATTTATTGCTACATGCAATTATTTATACTTTGTTTGTTGAGTAAAAATTTACAAAATTTAACAGCTTGAAACAAAAAGCCCCTCTTTTGTAAAATTTCTAACTCAACGTTGGTTCTAACAGCTTAAATTGTTAATTCACTTTCATGCAATCAGAGTAAATGAACCTCCACATACCACCACCAGGGTGTGATTTTCAATTTTCAAACGCGATGACGAGTAGAAAATTTCAATTGTGCGTGAAGCACACATTGAGAGTTGCAAACGAGGCGAAAAGAGTTCCCGGCGCTATCCGTGGAATGCACTTTTCTGATTAAATATACACACATTGAGAGTCACAAACGTTTTGTTCTCCGCTTTTGTTTAGATCTTTCCATGAAATATGCGTGCGCCACTGGGGCGAAAACACGCGGCACGCAGACACAAAAGGGCGCCGCCGGCGTGGCGAATTTAAGCGACAAAAACAAAAGCGAATTCCGCAACAAATAGTGTAGCGTGTATTTGGGTCGCTGTTTTATGAAAAGGGAACAGAACAGGGCGCTCGTGTGTGTTTGTTTTTCGCATGCCAGCACCTTGCGCACCAAGGCAGCAATTTATGACGCCGCAATAAAAAAGTTTGCTATAAAAATTGCTCCTTCTTAAAATTCACAATTAGTTTAAATTCAATTTAATTTTATAAAGCATTCTAGATTTATCAAAGTTGACAATTCTTGTGAAACTTTAATTTATTTTAGCCAACCAAATGTAATAAAATGATTACAATATAAAAAGAAAATTGCCCATTTGCAAATAATTTTGTTCATCATTTAATTAATTGATAATTAAATAAAATTTAGCTCTATAACTTTTCGGTCAATTAAAAAGCAAATAAGTTAAATAAGTATTTTTAAATTTAATTTTGATTTATTATATTATACTTCAAAATCCTGCAATGTTTCATACAAATTGCTATAGTATTCTTTAAATACCGTCATTTTTCACCACACATTTTCAAATTTGCAGAGATAGGCGCGTTGAATCGCAACGCGATTTATGCATGAATGCGTCGTCCGTGCCCGGCGCGCAATTTATCTAGCGCGGGACAAAATTACATGGGCGGGCGCAGTCGTAAATTTCTCGGCACGGACATTTTTTCTGTTTAGCAAATACGGGCTTGGAAATAATTGAAAACGGCCGCGCGCTCGTGTGCACGTAAATATTTCCCAATTTCAGCGGGCTCGTTGTTTTGCAACGCAAATTCATTCTCGGCCTGTTTAAACTCGCATAAATCCGACTGTAATTACACCGGGCCAAAATGAACTCCGCGTAAAACAGTTCATTTTTCACAAAACCTGGAAACCATTATGAATTATAATAATTTTACATTATTTTCCAACTAAATAAAAAATTAGAATTAATGCAAGGAAATATAGACAAAAATTGAGAGTAAATAAATCATTTTCTCAATTACTATACTTTTTTTTCAAGTTCATTTAAAAAATGAAATTATCTTCCTGGTCTGAAACGCCGTTGGTCATTCAATTCAACTTTTCAGTCAATTCTTTTGGAATATAAATCACAATCCTACAGGAAAATGGCGCTACATTTATTTTCTGATTTGTGATTAGCCATTGAGTTGCTACAGGTAAACTGAGCTCCACATTTTTTGCATGAAACCGATTTTGTATGCTGCGAGAAAGCTTTGGCATTGCAAGTAACTTTGCAAGCAGGACACCTCTTAAAAGAGTGGTTATTTTTTACATGGAGATACAAACTTTTACTGCAGGCAAAGCCACTTGGGCATTCTGGACATTTGAGGAAATTTGATTGTTCGGTATGTTCTTTTGCATTGTGCTGCATTAAGTGACCTCTATTTGAAGTTGTGAAATCACACAACAGGCAATTCATCGTGTGATGAGTTGTTTTAATATGCTTTACGAGCTCATCTTGAGTTTTGAAATAATCCTCGCAATGTTTGTACGCACAAATAAAAGCAATATTCCGATGGTTTTTTGTTACATGATCTTTCAATTCGTCTGTTGTTATGCCACACCATGAGCAGTAAATGCATCCACAAACTTTTTGCATTAGATGAAAAAATTTGACATGAATTTCTCTGTCTAGAAGAGTGTGAAAATATTTTGCACATTGTTTTGAATAATCACACCTTATCGCAATATCTGCATGTGTCATCTTGACGTGCTCAACGATGTCCCCCATACATATTTTACCACAGTAGACGCACTCTTCTTTCATTTTTTCAGCTGGTATTTGTTCAGAATCGTTTCCCTCAACGCTAGTTATAGTTGATTGAGGGAGCTGCACTTCCTTCTGCTGATCTTTATCAGCTAAAAACAATTTTTAAGATCAGTTAACTTGAATCATACAAGATTATTTGGAGAAAAAAAATTACCATCACATTTCTCCTGCAATGAACTTTGATCCTTTTCCATATAAATTTGTGGCCACCACTGCAAACTATCAATTGAAAATAGCTGAAATTTTCCCGCATCATTCTCGAACAACAACCTTGAAAAAGTAGAAATTAAATTTTTTTAATTAATTATTTCTTTCATCAGTAAAAATTTCCAATAAATTTATACTGATCAAAGGATATTTCAAAGAGTAAAAATACATACCTGGCATCTGCAACGCAAATGGAGCAGACAAGGTCAGTGTCTTGAAGCTCGGAAGCCAAATCAGTGTCCAGGTAATTAACACACCACTCGGCAAACTTCGTCTTGTCCAATTCATTCCCACGTATGCCACCATTTATCGCAGGCTTCTCGCAAAGTCGACAAATTTGAGGTCGCATTTTCTATGAGAAGAAATCCTGAGAGAGGAGCTTGGCTTGGTCCAGACCGACCGCCTTGTTTATTGTAAATCAGCTGATGGGGAAATGGGTGCGACATACCTGAGTGCCACCTGCGGCACCTTCGCCGAACTCGCCGAGAAGGTGGAGCCTATTTTAGGTAAAAAAAAGCGCGAAGGGATGCGCTTTTTCCCTCATCACGGGATTATTATAGAAACACGTTTTCAACTTATTGATAAGAGAAATTAGATCTTCGATAATTTGTATCATGAGATTTACCACTTCAAGTGTAAAACTGCAAAATTTATAAATCATACATTTCCGGAGAAAAAGATTAGAGAAAATTAACAATTTTAAGTTTTTTTTTTTATCAAAGTTATAATTTGAAAAACCGCGACTATTTGTGAAATTATTAAATTATTTATTTATTAATAAGAAATATCCTTCATTAGAAAGAAAAAAATCGAATAATTATCCTGGATGCGGAATATAAGAGCTCATAGGGTGTCATTATAGCTTTCTGTAAACTTTCGGCCCTTCTCTCTGCTTTTCTCAATAAATCTTGGAGTGTTTAAAAGTTAGTTATTACTTCCAGATTGCGTCCGCCGACGCCACACGAGCGTGCTGCAACTTTCGGGACGAGTTTTCGTGTTTACACAAGCTCTCTCTAAAAATTTTACCCTTCCCAAGAGTATAGAGTTGGCTTGCTCCATGTAAGACGATGGAGAGAAAAAATAATAAGAAAACATGCACACGACGCGGCTGCTGCTCTGCTATTTCCGTAGCTAGGCCGTAATTCTTGAGAAAAATTTTTGTAGTGAAAAAAGAAAGTCTCGTGATCCATTAGGATTTATTTCAAAACAAATAACTGAACTGAAAACTATTTTAGTTCTCAGCAGTTCATAATTTTTTGGCAAATTTATTTTAAAAAAAGCTAATATGCAAAAAAGTGATGGGTCGTGTTAGGATTTTTCATTGATTTTCTAATTTTTATATTATTTTTTAATTAACAGTAATATATTATAATAAAAACTGTTTTTGTATTTATTAACAGTTAAATTTCACTGAGACATCTTATTGTGCCATAAAGAAGTCATACGGAATCATAAACTCGTTTCAAATTCCCAACTGTCGGCTCATCTCCCCATATTTTGGACGCACGCGGGAAGATGAATTACGATTTAACAGACTCATTACAACAGGCGGCGCATTTCAAAACACGCCGGCGGAAAAGTGAGTGTGATTTATATTATTATGCGACCCGCAGCCACCGCGAACGCATCCCTATGGGAAATGCAAACACATTTTTTGTATAAAAACCTCATGCATCGGGATATAAACACACTCATTTATGAATGGGGGAGCAGAGGTATATGAAATTGCAGGGCGAAAAAAAAAACAGAAAAAATGTTACCCCGAAATAAACACGTTTCATTAACATAATGCTGCATAGCGGTCGCGGATAAATATTTATCTAGCCTCCGAGTGTGTATGATTTATTTGCCGCGAGTGCGTCGCTCATGCTCTACTTCCACCCAGGCCAATTTTTCATCCAAATTTCTCCCCTCGCTCGGAGTTAAAAATAAGAAAAAGCCGTTGTCACGCAAGTGTATTCTTATATTCTCTCAAATTTTTTTTTTTTTTTAATTTAAAAAAAATAACTCATCGGAGTTTTGATTGTGTTCATAAATTGGGAACAAACAAAAATGTTGAAATTGCAGTTTTTTGTTGATGAGGAATTAATCAGTTTTGGGTAAATTGGGGTTTAGATTGATTCTTGTGTCCCCAGAGTGATGAATTTGGAGTTTGTCACGCGCGAAAAATTGAGAGTGACAGAAATCACGCCAAATAACAGTGAAAGTGTCACTTTTCCGGCACACACACTGTCGCGTTGTTTATTCACGTGAAACTCAATATGCATCTGTCGGCGTAATCCTATCTCTGTGATTTTATATTCCACCGAGAGGGACATGAAAATGCATTAAAAGCACAAACAATAGTTGGTACCGATGTACGAACAAAGTTGACAAAGCAAAACAATAAATGAAGCAGTGGTAAAATCAAATTGTTTTTGAATTTATGGAAGTTATAAAAGCAAAAGTTATTTCATGTTCACACTCACAATAATTATTATGTTAAATCTTCCTAGAAAGGATAAATAAAGTAATTAAGAATTCATGTGTAATAGTTATTATAATTGCAAAATCTAGCGTTGGATGAACATCATTTTCAAAACCCACATTATTATTATTATTATTGTTGTTTATTTGTCCACATTGTTACAAGTACATTGTTTACATTCAATTTTTGAAAAACAATACTCTCAATTTAAAAGAAATTTGCCAGAATTAAATCTGACAGACTTATCCAGCAAGTATAATATTCATTACTGATTTAAAACGTATAAAATAGTTTGTATGTAAACAAAATTGAAATTTTGGAGTAAACTAATGAAATAATGGATTGAAATGACCTAAATATAAATTTAATGAAAGACATTTTTCGCAAATATTTAAAAATTACATCAAAAAGTTTCGTCAAAATAGAACTTGCTTATATAATTTACACACAAAAAAATTTTGCTGCTTGAATCATGAAGGTTTCAAAATCACTGTATAGCGGGGTCAACAATTTTGATTGATTACTTAAAATTTAAACAACAAGAATACACACATAAACCCAAAGCGTAAATTCAAAATATATGTATAATGCTAAGAATATACTGGAAAATATACTTAAATTTGCAAGCTAGCGCAATATCAAGCTTTCTTCCTCAAAATATATCACCAAATTTCCCACCAAAAGATCATGCATAGTCTTTAGAGGAGATAAACAAAAGTGACAAAATGTGAGACAACTTTTTTCTTGAAGAGACACACAATATAGGGCATATTTGATATTCAAAACAGCAGTCACGCTCCACCGTGTATCCAATTTGAGCAAATAAATGGGAGATCCACGCCTCCGTTTCGCTCAGCAGCTTTTTCCGCCTTTGAAAATGTAGCAGAAAGAAAAATTGCAAAGGAGAGCTGTTTGTTGACCGGCTGGAGGAAAATCCGACTTTTTGTGGAGAACGCGGGCCAGAGAATATGTGAATCGATTTATCAGTCTGAGCAAAAAAGCAGCGGAAAAAAGTGCCGGCGGTGGTGACACGTCGGAGTTGAGCACATGCAAAGAACATGGCCTCTCGGCTTTTTCTCGTAATGCTCGATTCTCGCCTCTGTCCCTTCGCCTGATCGTCCTACGCCGACCAGACCTTCTTTCCTGTCGATATATTTTCATGCTCGCGGTGGCGGCGGCGAACATATGTGTGCTCGCCGAGAGTGCGGTTTTTTGCATCGACGAGCACACTGATATTATTGTATGGAGACGTCGAATAAAAGAGCCAAGATAGAAGACAGATTGTGCGGCACCCGTGAAGTTACATAAGCTCAGGATAGGGATAAAAAAACTAAAGGGCTGATTTTTTTAACAAATCTGAAAATATCAAGATAGAGACAATTATAGGAAAAGCAAAAATGATTAGGAATATTTTTATTTCTGTAGTATCTTTTTAATTTGCAAAATTCATTTCCTCTCACAAGGTATGCTCCCGAGATGACACACGCCGATTTTGATGAAAGTTGGTATGCAACTTGCACTACCCTTGGGTGTTCTGGAATGGCTATCAAAAGTTGCCCAATTTCACAAGGGAGGGTAGTTTCCATCAAAACGCATGTTAAAAACGATCAGATGTAGGCAACAAAAGCGTCCTCTGTGTATATAATTTGCCTACATCTGATTTCTCCAATGTAATTCAAATTACATGGAGTTTAAGTGGCAAAAATTAAACAAGGAAAATTGGGCAAAAATTAATGACCGTTCTGGGGTACCAATGGGTAGTAGAAGTTGTGCACCAATTTTCATTGAAATCGGGGTGTGTCATCTCGGGAGCATACCTTGTCAGTCGATTTTAATTTAGAGGAGGAGAATGAATATAATACCTACGTTTCTTTAATTACAATAATCATTAATTACTAAAATACTATCAAGAAGCACTGCTTATTTTTTTTTCAAAGTTTGTTTATTTTTAAGCAAAAGACGAATTTGATTAAAGTTTCTGGTTTTGTCGGTTTTATCTAGTAACACTCTTGGACACAGTCAAGAGTTTTAAAATTTTGCATTTAATGCTTCATTTTAAATTCTGTCGCGACATTAAATAAAAACGTACAAACAATGTTTAATTTTATAGAAAAATTTGATTGATAACATATTTAATTATTCTTTTATTTTTGCAATTTCAAATGGCCGTATCAATAAATTGTATTGTTATCTGTTGTTTAAAGCAAGAAATTTGTAAAGTATAAATTATAAAAAAACGTTTCATTACTCCATCAAAACATTTTAATTACTCATAAATTAAATCGCCTAATTTGTTTCCTTTTTTTAATGATATAGCAGTGTATATACCAAAGTATTATTTTTGCAGAATTCACTTTTATTTCAGAAAAAAAGTCACCGCTACTAACTGTGCTATAGTATTTTGCCATGCAGCTTTAATTGGGAAAAACTCATATTCTGCAGCAACGATATCAGTTTAAAATATTACGATACATTTGATCATGTAATTTAAATTAAAAAAAAAAACGACTGGAAATGATATCACAATTTTACAGAATATTTTTGCTGAATCAAACCTGCAGAGACACCGACACCAACATAATATCGCACCTGACACTCTGTTGACCCAATTTGGAGGCTCTGCAGCGGCTCCATTACTTTCCGAATCGCCGGCGGCTTTTCTGCACTCAAGATTGCACATAAAGAATGAGAAGAAGCGCGATGACGAGCAGAGAATAAGAAGAAAAGCTCTTCGTCGTCGGTGGCGGCGTCGCGGTATTGTTTTCTCGCGCGCGCGACTCCGTTTTTCTTTTGTTCGTCAACTCGGTTGCACATTCTGCTTATGCTGTATTTCTGTCTCTTATTGTTTTTATTATTTTTGCATATATATTTTGTATACGCAACCCCGCGGGTCTTGATGAAAAAATAAAATGTGAAAATATTCCTATTTTGAGTGATGACGACTGCAAA